AGACCAGAGCATCCATACGAACACTCCACCCTCAGTGCAGGTGTGCTCTCCCACCTCTGCTGCACACATCAGACATCACAGCGGCAGGGAGTTTTGTGCCTGAAGGGGCAGAGCCTGATGGAGATTTACAGCTACTACTTCCTCAGCAGGTCCACTCCCCTTGTGACTGACATCAGGCAGTGGGAGGATCCTTAGCCAACAGACAGCTTTCTATTGGCTGTATACACTCACCGGCCACTTTATTAGGTAAACCTGTTCAATTGCTTGGTATCACAAATTGCTAATCAGCCAATCCTATGGCAGCAACTCAATGCATGTAGACGTGGTGAAGACGACTTGCCGAAGTTCAAAGAGAGCATCAGAATGGGGAAGATGGGATTTAAGTGACTTTGAACATGGCATAGTTAGCACAAGACAGGCTGGTCTGAGCATTTCAAAAACTGCTGATCTACTGGGATTTCCACACACAACCATCTCTAGGGTTTACAGAGAATGGTCCAAAAAAAGAGAAAATATCCAGTGAGCAGCAGCTGTGTGGACAAAAACGTCTTGATGTCAGAGGAGAATGGGCAGACTGGTTTGAGATGATAGAAAGGCAACACTAATTCAAATAACCACTCGTTACAACCAAAGTATGCAGAATACTATTTCTGAACGCACAACACATCGAACCTTGAAGCAGATGGGCTACAGCAGCAGAAGACCACACCAAGTGCCACTCCTGTCAGCTAGGAACAGGAAACAGAGGCTACAATTCACAGGAAACAGAGGCTACAATTCACAAAGGCTCACAAAAATTGGACAAGAGAATATTAGAAAAATGTTGCCTGGTCTGAGGAGTCTCGATTTCCCTAGAGATGGCTGTGTGTGAAAATCCCAGTAGATCAGCAGTTTTTGAAATACTCAGACCAGCTCGTCTAGCACAAACAACCATGTCACGTTCAAGGTCACTTACAGTGGGGCAAAAAAGTATTTAGTCAGCCACCAATTGTGAAAGTTCTCCCACTTAAAAAGATGAGAGAGGCCTGTAATTGGCATCATAGGTAGACCTCAACTATGAGAGACAAAATGAGAAAAAAAAATCCAGACAATCACATTGGCTGATTTGGAAAGAATTTATTTGCAAATTATGGTGGAAAATAAGTATTTGGTCAATATCAAAAGTTCATCTCAATACTTTGTTATATATCCTTTGTTGGTAATGACAGAGGTCAAACGTTTCCTGTAAGTCTTCACAAGGTTGGCACACACTGTTGCTGGTATGTTGGCCCATTCCTCCATGCAGATCTCCTCTAGAGCAGTGATGTTTTGGGGCTGTCGCTGGGCAACACGGACTTTCAACTCCCTCCAAAGGTTTTCTATGGGGTTGAGATCTGGAGACTGGCTAGGCCACTCCAGGACCTTGAAATGCTTCTTACGAAGCCACTCCTTCGTTGCCCGGGCGGTATGTTTGGGATCATTGTCATGTTGGAAGACCCAGCCACATTTCATCTTCAATGCCCTTGCTGATGGAAGGAGGTTTGCACTCAAAATCTCACGATACATGGCCCCATTCATTCTGTCCTGTACATGGATCAGTCGTCCTGGTCCCTTTGCAGAGAAACAGCCCCAAAGCATGATGTTGCCACCCCCATGCTTTACAGTAGTTATGGTGTTCTTTGGATGCAACTCAGCATTCTCTCTTCTCCAAACACGACGAGTTGTGTTTCTACCAAACAGTTCTATTTTGGTTTCATCTGACCATATGACATTCTCCCAATCCTCTTCTGGATCATCCAAATACTCTCTAGCAAACTTCAGACAGGCCCGGACATGTACTGGCTTAAGTAGGGGGATACGTCTGGCACTGCAGGATCTGAGTTCCTGACAACGTAGTGTGTTACTGATGGTAGCCTTTGTTACGTTGGTCCCAGCTCTCTGCAGGTCATTCACTAGGTCCCCCCGTGTGGTCCTGGGATTTTTGCTCACCGTTCTTGTGATCATTTTGACCCCACGGGGTGAGATCTTGCGTGGAGCCCCAGATCGAGGGAGATTATCAGTGGTCTTGTGTGTCTTCCATTTTCTAATTATTGCTCCCACGGTTGATTTGTTCACACCAAGCTGCTTGCCTATTGCAGATTCAGTCTTCCCAGCCTGGTGCAGGTCTACAATTTGGTTTCTGGTGTCCTTTCGACAGCTCTTCTGTGTGATAAAAATTACATCAAAATTTGTCCAGCTTAAAGCTGATTATATGTGACCAGTGTTTTACATTGAATTTCCATGCTTGTTTAGTGCTTCCCTCTTACTGTTTATACAGCTGCTCCTGCCTTGTCTACTGCTAGCAACTAGAAGCTAGCTTCGGCTTAATTTTGAGGTTATTAGGCAACTATACAGAGACACAACTGGTGTTTGCAGGAACATCTGCTTGTATTTGGATAGTGGTGCTATGACACATAAACCTGTTGATTGTTGTATTATCAGAGAACGTATAAATGTTTGCACAATAGTTGCTGTCCTTTGCTCTGCAATGTACAGTTCGTCATGAGTATTGTAAGCTATACAAGGCTACCTGAGCAAACATGAGGCTTCAGTGATGTAAAAAGCAGTATTTTTTTCGTTTTGCTATGTATTGAGTTCCGTGGTGAAAAATGACCAGAAAGTGCACCGGCATAGTGTAAAAATGCCCAATACAAGTTTATTTTATTAGAAGTCTTAAAGGAAAAGTTCATCTTCGGGAACATGTTACATGTTCCACCCAGGGGCGTATTTACAACAAGGCATTTGCCTAGGGCGGCTTTTATTTTTTAGGGGGGCAGCACCGCCCCCTGGAAGAAGGGGCATATGCAGCATGGGGACCAAGTGGGATCCGAGAGAGGCTTTGGGCTCCGCGGGCGGGCTGGTGTTGATCGGTGTCAGGCTCTCTCCACCAGGGAGGGGGTGCCTCTGATTTTTGGGTTGCCTAAATACACCACTGGCACCACTCTAAAAATGGAACATGTTTCCATCGCTGCAGCCGCTGACCGATTGCCCCCCACCTTACCCTCCTTGGGACAGCAGTACGGGGAGAAGGTCCCTGTACTAGCTGTCATTACTTAAAAACAGCACACCCGTGTGGGGCTCCACCCACACAACCACGTTCTACATTCACAGTGTTCTGTGAATGAACTACAAGTCCCAAAAGCCTTAGTGGTTGCCGGCTTGTAGTTCTCAATGAACTTCCACGGTGCTGTGGAGAGTCGTGGTAGTTCACTGAATCTTCCTGTGGGTATATTTGGGTATATCTAGGTCTGCAGGAGACTTGCATGGCACCAGCGATCTACTGATCGCTGGAGCAATGCATTCCAGGGTCCTGCAACCAAAAATAATAAATGCACATTTTTTTACCTGCAGAAAATGTGCATTTATTATTTTTGTTCAAAAGGGGAACTTTAAACTCACAAAAGCACTTGTGGTAAGAGCATGTAATACATCTTCCATATAATGCACAATCTCTCTGACCAATGGGCACAGTTATTTGACTGCTGAACCCTCACAGGCTACATAGGCAATGCCACCATCCTGGTTTATGTACTTGAGGGCATACCCTCTTCATTAGAGCCCTGATAAAGAGGGTACCCCTCAAAATCCAAAAAGAAAAATCATCATGTTCTGAACACAATAGCATCCCCAGTGCCCAAAACCACCTGCTCCTCTAAAAGCATCTTTTCTGGCAGATGTGCTAAAACAGTAAAATTACTGAATAAATGTGTTTTTCAGAGACTTTTTATTAGGAAATGTAAATACCCCATCTGACTAAGCAGCAAACCCTAATGTAATATATTACAGTTTATCAGTCTCCTTAGATATGGTGGCTACATTAGTTTTATTTTTCAGGCTTTTTTCCCCCTAAAAAAACACAAATATTTGGTTGCGGTGTGGCCACACTCTCTTGAATACGTTGAATTTGGATGCTATACTGCCCACTGCCAAGATGGTATAATTTATGTGTGTAGAACCCTGAGTGGCTGAATGCTATCTTTTAGGTGGGTGGTTGGAAGGTGGCAAAACCATGCCTCAACTGCCTATTTCTGCTGCCCCACCACCCTGGCAGCTCAACAAAGCCTTGCAGTATAGAAGCAGCCCCCTGCAAGGGAGGATTTTTACTTTCTCTGGAGATGGGATTTTAAAACATGTAAGTACACACCACTTCCCCAATATACATTGTGTTTAGTGGACTGATATCTCTTGGATGGTCTTGGTATAGAGAGTTATTTTTCTAATGATTAAAAACCAATAGAAAAAGTTTATTGTAGCCTCCCTAGCGGTCTGATTATGTCAGTATTTCTGTGCTCAAAGCGGTATATTTTTTTGCATGGAAATATGTCGTTTTTTTATTGTAGGCCTCTAATTTTTAGGAATAACTCACTGAAATCTGTCCGAACAAGAGTCTAGTAAACATCCCGGGTATGATAAAATTTGAAACACGAAATCATAAATTATAATTTAATAATAAAATCCTAAAAAACAATAATAATAATACATTTAAATCAATAATATAATCAAACCAAAAACACTGAAATTTAAAATATAGCACCAAGTTCACACATCACTGAGCAAAGTCACAAAATCGTTTTCAGTGTCTGATGACGAATTTCCCCACGAATCATTATCACTCAATTCTGCAAGTGGTTCTGATTTACTATCGCTGTTCTCTAGCTGGTCTAAAACCGCTTTTGACCTAAAGGGATGCTTTTTGGACACCATGGACGTTTCTCAGTTTCAAGGCAAAAAAAAAACCCAGTAAAAATGCAGGCAGGGCACAGGACAAAGCACTCGGGACAATATGTATGTGAAATGGTTTTATACAGTAATGTTTTACTATGTGATTTTAGTGTATTTAGTGAATGTCACTTTTTGACATTTTTAAATTTCCCGCCAGTTCCATCCCCTGTGCGTCCCGACGCTCGCAGGGAATGGAACCCGGGAGACAGATGTCGGCATCGGCCGGGGGACATTGCAGGGGACACTGCAGGAGGGACAAGGTAAGTGTAGAAGAGATCCCGGAGCAGCGCTGCAAGGTATTCCCGAGTGTAGCTCGGGGTTACTGCTTGTGGTGCTGAAACTTTACCCCGAGCTACACTCGGGAATACCTCCAGGGAGGTTAAGCAACCAGTACACAAGCAGTGCTCTTCCTAGATTAATTAAAGCATATATCGCTACCCCCCCCCTGAGAAAAAAAAACAAAAAAATACACAGCCAAGCTCGCAGACAAAATTGGCCTATATGAAAAAATATGGACACCACGGGCCTTAAGCTCATCCCTTCAGACTTCAATGAACACCTTTTATCACTTTGATCTTTTTTCCATTATTCCCACATCAAACAGACATGGGACTGTTAATCCTCCTGTATTACCCTACCTTGTTTCCTCCATCCTTTTTTTCTCTACTCCTTTATATTCTCCTGTAACTTTGACTACCACAGATGCCTTTTGCATGTCTCACCTAAAACTGGAGAGTGCAGAATCTGGTGTAGCTGTGCATGGCAGCCAATCAGCTTCTAACCTCAGCTTGATCAATTAAGTTTTGGTAACAAAACCAGGTAGTATTATTATTATACAGGATTTATATAGCGCCAACAGTTTGTGCAGTGCTGTACAATATAAGGGAGACAGAACAATTACAATACATTTCAGTACAGAAGGAATGTGAGGGCCCTGGTCGTGGAGCTTACAATCTAAAAGGTAGCTGATTGATTTCTATGCACAGCTGCACAAACATACAACCACCATCTCCTGAACTCAGGGGCTCCGATCAGAGGAAGATTATTACTGATAAAGTATGTTCGTCCAATACTGATCAAAGGTTGTGCGGCTCTATCACAAAGCTGGGGAAGCTTGATATAGACTTTTTTTTGTTCTTCACTACAGTCTATGCAGACTGCACCAGATTTTGCACTCTCCAGTTTTAGTAAATGAACCCCACAGAGTAATACACTGAGTAATGGATCTCTCATTTCTAAATACCAACATAATGCATCTCCTTATCCTCTACTTTGATTGTAACACTGTTGGTTCATCAAATGGTATTTCCTCTTCATTTTGTACAATGTATCCACTTTTATACCAAAATGAAAATTGATTGAATCAGAGAATGCTGCATGTAAGGAACAGTACTCACTGATCCTGCCAGAAACCCAGAGAGATCCTAACTCGGCCTTTCTAGCACTAAATCCCAAGAAGTGTTTCTCCAATCAACTACAGAACACCTCCCCTCCATGTTATGTGGAGACGGGGGGGTATGTATTCCATCAGGGAAAAACTCAGGGCAGGACTGCCAACATGGCATTTCAAGAAGTTAGGCATTCACTGGATTTCTGGCAGATCCAGGATTTGTTTTCTGTATATGCAGCATGTTTAAAGAGATATATGTATCTCTAATACATGTAGTGCAGAGATGTACTGCATATTTTATAAGATTTTCCCCAGACACACACTTTAAATGAAAAATAACAGATACTGCAATTATTTTAGCCAAAGTAAAATATATCTACAAAATAAAATGTATTTGCCTTATCCCTACAAGGCCTTTCTCCTATAGTTTTTCCTTTTTTTTGGACAAATTCAAATATACTTTGAAAACCTCCAATTTCAACAATGCACCAAACTGTTAAGAGAGGAGTAAAGTATGCAGAAAGGACAGGGTTAACTTCCAGGCAGCTGAATGGATGAAGCTTCTTTCCAGCACAAATAATCTGCATAGTTAACACATAGCTGTGAGCACCCGATTCACACTGGGGAAGCCGACAGACAAGATCATCTCAGCCTGACGGAGTGGAAAGAGAGCTCCGGGCAGTCAGCCAGAAGACAGCCAGCAAAAACAATATGGTATTATACAGGAAAAAAGAGCTGTGCTCTACAATCTCTATACCAGTCCACTCATCTGCCCAAAGCCGTCCATACACACATACTGCAGATTTATGTCTGTTCAGCCTGCAGCCTAAATTGAATAAAATCAAACCGATTCCTCCATTTACGTTATACAACACAGATGAACAAATCTCTCTCTGCAGCTACTGTATATTGACAGCTGGCAGGGCCCACTGTCAAACTACCAAAACAGTGGCAGCATCTGATTGGATGCAGCTACTGTTTGTCTGACAATTTTCCAATCACAGGGCCACCCACTGATCAAGTATCAGAATTCACAGTGCGTACAGCCAGCTTAAAGGCTACCTCCAGCTTTTTCACAATGTTACAGATTACAGGTAATTAGGGGCAAATGCCCCCCTTCCCTCCTGTAAAAAAAAAGTGAAAAGGTGGACTAAATCAGGCCATACATGGGTCGAATTCTGAATGATTTTTCAATCGAAAACATTGTTCATTCTGTAATCCGATGCTGCCACCAATAATTTAGAAAATCAGTCCTTTTTCACAAATTTTCCAGCATGCCTGATAAACGAACGGGGGAGGAACCACAAAAATCGGCCAGTGCCATTGCCTCACTAACAGAGCAAAAATCAGCCGATTATTCTTCGGTCCGATTTTTGAACAAAAAATCATTCGAAAATCGACCCATGTATGGCCAGCCTAAGCCTTTAACTATACTTACACAGGTATACAGTATGCCTGATGCCATAATTTGTATACCCAGCTATTATACCACACTCTATACAGTAATTAAAACCACTATATTTCTATATACAGTAAAATTAATTTAGACCCTTCCATGATAACTATAAGTTCTTTTAGTTTACAATTCTTATTTTTGGATTTTAGAACATTAAGGTCTAGTTCACACCATGTGTTCCAGTGCATTTTGTCTGCATCCAAAACACATAACGAGTAGGCTCAGTTGTTTTCAATGGCATAGTTCACACCAGTGCTTGCAGTTCCAGTAAGTTCTGGTTCCAGAAAAAGTAATAAAATATGATGCATTTTTCTTGCACAGGACTGTACTGTAATACATTAAAACAAATCAAAAATGCATCTACACATCTCCTGCCAGAGAACACAGTGATTACTGCTAGCGGCTATAATAGTCCCTAAGAATGATCTCATGTAAAATCCAACAGGCTGGTTGAATGATCGATCAACTTGGGTACATTCAGCTGGACCACACATGGTTCGAATCTTGGCCGGTCCCTACTGCACCAGTTGAGACTTCAACTGTCTATGGCCGGCTTTAGGGCAGCTCATTCTTTTTAGTGAGAAAAAAAACCAAACATACAGTCAGGTCCATAAATATTGGGACATCGACACAATTCTAACATGTTTGGCTCTATACACCACCACAATGGATTTGAAATGAAACGAACAAGATGTGCTTTAACTGCAGACTGTCAGCTTTAATTTGAGGGTATTTACATCCAAATCAGGTGAACGGTGTAGGAATTACAACAGTTTGCATATGTGCCTCCCACTTGTTAAGGGACCAAAAGTAATGGGACAATTGGCTTCTCAGCTGTTCCATGGCCAGGTGTGTGTTATTCCCTCATTATCCCAATTACAATGAGCAGATAAAAGGTCCAGAGTTCATTTCAAGTGTGCTATTTGCATTTGGAATCTGTTGCTGTCAACTCTCAAGATGAGATCCGAAGAGCTGTCAATATCAGTGAAGCAAGCCATCATTAGGCTGAAAAAACAAAACAAACCCATCAACAGATAGCAAAAACATTACGTGGCCAAAACAACGGTTTGGAACATTCTTAAAAAGAAGGAACGCACCGCTGAGCTCAGCAACACCAAAAGACCCGGAAGACCACGGAAAACAACTGTGGTGGATGACCGAAGAATTCTTTCCCTGGTGAGGAAAACACCCTTCACAACAGTTGGCCAGATCATGAACACTCTCCAGGAGGTAGGTGTATGTGTGTCAAAGTCAACAATCAAGAGAAGACTTCACCAGAGTGAATACAGAGGGTTCACCACAAGATGTAAACCATTGGTGTGCCTCAAAAACAAGAAGGCCAGATTAGGTTTGCCAAACGACATCTAAAAAAGCCTTCACAGTTCTGGAACAACATCCTATGGACAGATGAGACCAAGATCAACTTGTACCAGAGTGATGGGAAGAGAAGAGTATGGAGAAGGAAAGGAACTGCTCATGATCCTAAGCATACCACCTCATCAAGTGAAGAATGGTGGTGGTGTGTCATGGCGTGGGCATGTATGGCTGCCAATGGAACTGGTTCTCTTGTATTTATTGATGATGTGACTGCTGACAAAAGCAGCAGGATGAATTCTGAAGTGTTTCGGGCAATATTATCTGCTCATATTCAGCCAAATGCTTCAGAACTCATTGGATGCCGCTTCACAGTGCAGATGGACAATGACCCACAAAGCATACTGCAAAAGCAACCAAAGAGTTTTTTTTAAGGGAAAGAAGTGGAATGTTATGCAATGGCCAAGTCAATCACCTGACCTGAATCCGATTGAGCATGCATTTCACTTACTGAAGACAAAACTGAAGGGAAAATGCCCCAAGAACAAGCAGGAACTGAAGACAGTTGCAGTAGAGGCCTGGCAGAGCATCACCAGGGATGAAACCCAGCGTCTGGTGATGTCTATGCGTTCCAGACTTCAGGCTGTAATTGACTGCAAAGGATTTGCAACCAAGTATTAAAAAGTGAAAGTTTGATTTATGATTATTATTCTGTCCCATTACTTTTGGTCCTTTAACAAGTGGGAGGCGCATATGCAAACTGTTGTAATTCCTACACCGTTCACCTGATTTGGATGTAAATACCCTCAAATTAAAGCTGACAGTCTGCAGTTAAAGCACATCTTGTTCGTTTCATTTCAAATCCATTGTGGTGGTGTATAGAGCCAAAAATGTTAGAATTGTGTCGATGTCCCAATATTTATGGACCTGACTGTACAATCACACAAGTGCATAATCCTTTTTAAAATATGGCCCACATTAAAATGCAATGGTACTTTATTATCATGCATTTCGACCCGTGTGTCAGCATGGTGCATTAAGAATGAATGACACCACTGCACGCTTGTAAAAGCAAAACGTATTTTTCTGTATTACAGATATAAGCGCAATTTTACATTCATTCCCGCAACACACAAAGGGAACCTAGACCAATTTCTCTTTCAGAGAAAGAATCAGATACAGGAACTGACAGCACGCTATGGGCGTTGTTCAAACAATTGTT